CAGCAATGGGTTTACCATAAGTCGTATTACTCGCCAAAAGAAAAATCGTCAAAAAATCGCTAAAATCCGTGCAACCGTCTACCAAAGTAGAACCGAGGGGAAAGTATAACTGAATATGTATCGGATGTTAAGCCTATGGACTCCAACGCTCTTAGATACGATTCTAATTTATCATATAATTTCGACACCTTGTGTTTGGCGCGTCATAATCATCTTTGGTTTTGCGCCGAAAACGCCACTCACTCACTCATATAATTTCGACATGTCTAACTTTCTTTTTTCTTCGGTAACATTTCTTACAACAAGATTTAAAATTTCACGTATATAAAGTTCAATTAGTAATTCCTCCCTTCCGGATCTTGATTTTAAACATGCAATAGCTTTATCATAATTTTCACATGTCGGTGGGTAACTATCGACAATATCGCGAGCTCTAGAGCCTTCAGTCATACATCGAATTAAATATTGAAATTTATCTTCTTTCGCAATTATTCATCGTCATTTCTTTTGAATTGGCTCCAAAGGCAAGCCATCTTGATTTCCCGTCAAATTTCAAAGTTAATCTCCGGTATCTTTAACTTTCGTTTTTGAACGGGCGAAGATCAACAGAATTTCAGTTTAGAAATTCTACTTAAATACATTTCTACGTTTAACTCCCGCTTTTAAGAAATTTTCATTATATTCTTCATTTCGCGTATCTTCTGATATTTATCGTCTTTATCTTCTAATAATAAAGAGCTTATTTCTGATCTATTTCAGTTAGCTGACAATAAATTCTAAGTAAATTAGCAAAGTTAGATCTAATGCTCTCTCTTTAACATTTCTGCTTTAATCATTCAAACATTAAACATTTTTGAAGTTAGCTCTTTATAGGAGAGCGTTTTTTAACAAGTAATTCCATTTTCAGAATAATAGGTAATTCAAAATAACGTACCTTTAATATCACGTCATACGGTCACCATGTTACGAGACTCTATCTGAATTTTGGGCCCACCAGCGGCCGAGCGGTAACGTCACTGAACACTGGTAGTTCGGTGTTGGTGTATTTAATTATGGCAAAGCACGCGAGGGCTATCTGCCTAAAGGGAGGGATGCTTTTGTGGAGGACTTTCTAAGGGAAACCATCTCGTATACACGTTACACATGGGGAAAACCACGAAAACACCCATGCAGCCAGCCCGTTCGCGGGATTCAAACCTCGGACCGAATTACCAGTGTTCAGCGATTTTACCGCTTCGGCCCCTGAGTTCGGTCTGAGGTTTTCGAAATCCCGAACGAGCTGGCTGCATGGGTGTTTTTCGTGGTTTTCCCCATGTGTAACGTGTTATACGAGCCAGTTTCCCTTAAAAAGTCCTCCACGAAGGCATCCCTCCTTTAAGGCAGATAGCCCTCGAGCGCTTTGCCGTAATCTAATAAACCAAACCAAACCTATCTGAATTTTGTTCATTCAGTCCGTACTCCATTAAAAGAAATGTAATGAGATATTTATAATTAAGTAATACTGGCAATCCACCCAATTAATTCACTATAAAACAGGCAATCCGCCTATATGCAAAATCATGGCGCATTTTTCTTTTTTTATTGTGAAACATAAAAACGATACAATGTTGCCAAACCGTAAAATTTAACCTTTAAAGAAATTACATTTATACAATCGTTGAGTTGCTCGCGACAACAATCATTGCTTTCCTACATAAATAATTTCAACAAGTATTTTCCTGAGGATTATGAAAAAGAAAATTTGATTAGAAATCCATTTTGTTCAAATGTACCTAACTAAAATTTCATCTCGTGAAGAAAAACAAACAAAAAAAAAAAAAAAAAAGATAGAAATTGCGTATGATCGAACTCTAACTGAAGATTTCAAAAATATTACAATTGTTAACTTTTGGCTGGACCGAAAAAAAATTATTTAAAGACATTTAAAATAAAACTATTAATTGTTTATAGCCATTTTGCAAAACCTGTTTGTGTGAACAAAGATTTTCTTCCACGTTATATTTGAAAAATAAATACAGAACAAAATTAAAAATGGATTCTAATTTACGGCTAAAACTAAGTGAAATAAGATCAGATATAAAGAAATCGGTCTCTCTTGAACGGGCCCAAAATTCACACTAAATTTTAGAATTAAAATATAACTTAAATTTTGATAATTAAAATGGCAACCAGTATTTAATATAATATGTTTATATATGCACATTTAATACAAATAGCCAAAATAGGTTGCTCAAATGGCAAAATATTTTTTTTTTTTTTAATATTTCTATTGAGACACTGAAAAATAATGATTGTAAAATGTCGTGGTGGTACTAAAGATTTTCAGTTTTTGTTTAGAAGGTACGCGTTAGCCAAATGCTTGAGGACCACTGATCTAGAAAAGAGTGCGTCCAAGCAAATTCATTCAATTCGTTCAAAATGGGGCCCACCAGCGGCCGAGCGGTAAAGTCGCTGAACACTTGTAATTCGGTTCGAGGTTCGAATCTCGCGAATGGGCCGGCTGCATGGGCGTTTTCGTGGTTTTCCCCATGTGTAACGTGTATACGAGCCAGTTTCCCTTAGAAAGTCCTCCACGAAGGCATCCCTCCCCTTAGGCAGATAGTCCTCGAGGATACGCCATAATCACACACACATTTAAAATGTCATTCAATTTGCAACAGCTAAAAATAAACGTACACTGCGGGGGAAAAAAAAGGAAGAGTTCTATATCTGCCAGTCTACTGTGTAAATTGAGGAAATTCAACTTGCATTTTTAATGCCTCGAAAGAGATAGATTATATTAGATATATATATAGCATTGTTCTAACATACTTTGACACAAATCGGACTTTTTCTAAAATAACATACCATTTTTTTTCCATATTTCGATTCTACGACTCAAATTATGCCTAAATATTCAATTTTTGTAATTTTTGGGGAGAAATTTATGGAGAAATTAAAAAATTTATCTTGGCGTAATTTTTTCAGTTTGCATCAAGAATAATTCACTTGGCGAATTTCTTAATTTATAGCAACCTATTTTCCTTTCGTTTTTTTTATTGTACACGAGAGGAAAAAATGTCATGGTTCATACCTTCAAATAATTGTAATAAAGTGCGTAAACCAAATGTGGCGTTATTATCGCTTATAACAAATATGCCAAATTTCAAAATGCGCCAATATGGAAATTCACGTATATCTTAGGAAATTTTGAATAAAAAAACTGTAATGTTTGGCAGGTATGCTTAGAAATACATCTGCTTTAAGATGATCGTAAAAATTTTATATCTTATAATTCAATTTTTTTTTTTTGAAAATTTATAAAAATTATTTAAAAATACAAATTTAAAAACAAATCATAAAAAAATGGGTGCATTTTATTTGTAATAATCCTTAATTTCGAAATGTGAAGGAAAAATCAAATAAGTTTAATTAAGAAAGGGATTACTATATATATACCAAATTCAATTAACATGGAGGAGCTAAAATTTTGAGAGCTAATTTTTTAAAAACTACTCGCGCTATTTTTACAAAACTTTGAGTCGTAGAATCGAAATACGGAAAACAAATTAGTGTTATTTCAGAAAATGTCCGATTTGTGTCGAAATACCTATATGTTAGAACAATGCCATATATAAATCTAATATATATCCTAAGTAGAGCTTTCAAGGCATGGAAAACGCAAGTTAAATTTCGACAAACGGTCTACTACAACGGAAGATTTTTTTCCCAAATGGAGAGTGTGCATATTACGTAGATATGCTCATATTCATTTTAAAATTTTTGTAACAATGCAATATTTACCTGCTGAAAAAAAGTTACGGGTTTTTGTCCCATTCCTTGAGGATCCCCAGAGTGTACATGGTAGAGTTCGTCAAAAGGAAATTTTTTCCCCTAAAATTCAAGAAAATTAAAATTTCTTAGTCTACAGAATATAGTAAGCAAATAATTAGGTCAGCTGAAATCATTGATTATCATTTGAGGACATTTCAAAAAAGATTAATGCAGCCAACTTCTATATTTCCATTGCTTTTACTGATATACGCGTTGTCTCATCTATTAGTTCCTGCATATGTTTAAGTTGAAACTCCTGTTAATGCTGCATAATGTTCGTGAGCATGTCGCCTGTTTTCTCGAGTCAAACCGATATTGAAGTTAGTGCTATTTGTAGTTCTACCATTGATAATATTTTCCCGCACGATCGAAAGCTTCTATAATTATCATTTCAGATACATTGTTTTATGGCCTACTAACTTCGCGTTGATAATTCTAACCTAATTAGTGCTTACAAATTAAGATTCATTGATCAAAATACGTTAAGGGTATGCCCTCAGATTTTAAGATATGTGTGTATTTAGAAATATGGTAAAAATTTGGCAAAAATTAAGCTGAAGATTATCTCTTACGCATTTAGAAAAGTGTTGGATTATGTTGTTACATATGGTTTTATGGGAAGGAGCAATCCAAACATATAAAAGAGCTCAAGTATCACACAAAAACAATGATATGATATATAAATAAATAAATAAAATCTGAAAGGTTTCAGATTTTAAATTACGTCCAAAGGGGCGTTTTTAAAACATTGTTTAAGTGTTGTTTCGTTTATTTAACCAAATATTACGTTCGTCGCACAAACCATAAATTCAGTCAGAGCAATATCGCAAATGTGTGTTGGAAATTGAGCTATCTTTAGAATTTCCGATACAGAATATCACGGGCTGTAGTAAAATTTTTTTTTTTTTTTTTCTGTACAAACGTTCATAACTAAACATATAGTTGAGAAACAACCGTTTAGTTGCAATGGGGCTGCTCCGAAAGTATATATATATATAAAAATTAAAGCATCTAAAGTTAAAATTGGAGTTCAAAGCAAGGCATTCCAAAAAATATAGTAATGCAACGGTATAATAGGTTTTAATATACTCTAAAACAAACAAAATTAAAATAAGAATTCATAGTAGTACAAACTCGAAAATAAAAAAGCAAAAAAAGGGAATAAAAGGGAAACAATATACAAGACAATAAAAATATAAAAATTAATTTCCTTTTACTGAAACTCCAATTCAGAACTCATGAGGGAAAAATGAATTAAAACAAGGCTTATCGTGAATCGACGCAAAATGCCAAAACAAAATTAATAGTCCTTCTAGGAAAATTGCCCCTTTGGACTAAAAATTGTAGTGGCCGATCACTTTGGTGAGACGCTGTATATGTATCTACTATAACATCGTCGATTGCCTAAAAATATGACCCGACTGTTCGGCGCTTCTACATTTGTTTGTATTTGCTATCTATATATATGTGTGTGTAAGGTGCGTGCTTATATTTTTATATTTGTTATTCGTTATTGGTATAGAAAATATCGCTGAAAATTGTATAGCATCTAATTTTGCTTAGGAATGCTTTTGTTTCAATTTCTACTCTGAAAATTTAGACGCTTCAGTTTTGCTTAAAATTCATATCCATTGTGTAAAGGCTTCTGAAACCATATTCATACCACTTTAAAATTGAGACTTACATTGATTTTATTTATCACTTTTTTATAGCTTTAATTTTAATCGCATATTAACGTGATTAAAATATAACGACTAAAACTGTTCGCCCACTAGTTTTATTAGAGCAAAGGGCGTTAGCCCAGAAGGAACATTAATTTCGTTTTGGAATTTTGAAAGAAAAACTTTAATTGTCCGCTTCACTTTTCAAATTGTTGCCACCAAATATTATCGCCCTGTGCTATATTTAAAGAAGTTAAATAATGAAGAATCTGCATAAATGTATGTGTGTTTCTCGCACTGTGATAAAACAATGGTACCTAGAGCCATTCAATTTTGAATAACGTAATCGTTCACCAAATATGGCATCTGGAAGCCCTAATTTGGAATTTGTTTTATCATAGATTTCATATTTTGTAACACTTCAACGAATTTTTGATTAAGAAACTCTACGATTTCAAAGCGAGCAATGGCAACACTGTACGAAAAAAAAAAAATTCATCTCCAGTGCGAGAGATTGTGTGTATCGGAAATTCTTAAGATACGTTTGTTTTAAAATTATTTTGCGATATTGCGTTGAAAAAAAAAAAAAAAAAAAAAAAAAAAAAAAAATGTGCAAAAAAAAAAAAAAAAAAAAAACAAAAAAAAAAAAAAAAAAAAAAAAAAAAAAAAAAAAAAAAAAAAAAAAAAAAAAAAAAAAAAAAAAAAAAAAAAACGCCGTCTTTTTGGGCGTAATGTAAAATCTGAAAGCTTTCAGATTTTATTTTTGTGTATGTTATGTTATATTGAATTGTATCCCGTTTGCAAATCATACCTTCTTAATTTCCTCTTCGATTTCATTTCCTCGACACACAACAGGACTTGGATAGACAAAGACTACATGTCTTAAATTTTTATTGATGGTATCTACTGTAAAATATTTTCCTGCAGAATCCATCGGATACAATTCCACTGATGAAAGAGGAAAATATCTGAAACGAGAAAAAATAATTCAAAATTATTGTTCTTTTTAAAACTTTGAAAGAAGTTTCAGTGTGTGTATGTTACCGCAAAGTATGAAATGCGGGGAATCTATAGAATGTCTAGGCATTGTATATAATACCGGACGTTTTTAGGCAAAAGTATGAAATATGAGAATTATTACATACTTTCCCTAAGGCATTGTATATAATATCTAGGTATTCTATAGAATGACAAATGCTATTTAGGTAAAGTATGAAAAAAAGGTTATGATAAGGCTGTTACTTAAAAGATGTTAATTCCTCAAATATACAAATGTTATTTTGAAAAATTAATGAAAGAGTTCCATTGAAAACCTGTCATCCGAAATATGTAAAACAATATTGAGATGAGCTTGATACAACATAATAAATTTGTATTTTCTATCTGGCTCAGACTGGGAGTCAGTAAGATCTACCTGACAACGGAAAATAAATTAAGTAACAGCCATAAGATTAACAACAATGCCCTTTTTAATAACTTTTTTTTTCTGGCTGGGCTCACACAGGTGGTTGTACTGTAAGGTATTTCTCCAGCCTTCATTGTGTAGTGGTCAGCACGCTCGAGGCGAAATGCAGAGATCCGTGGTTCGAGTCCCGGCAAAGGCATTGCTCATTTTTCATCTCTCTAGCTTCGAAATAACCTAATCTCTTTACAGTTCTACAGTACAATTCAACATTATTACGTGTGGCGTTTTTGTATTTGGTTGAAAATGCTTGCAACTTTCTGTCACGCTGTCCGTGCACAGTACTCATATGAGTTTTCGTAAAGTACGGGAAATAACTTAGCGCACGTGACGTAAAATTGTATAGTACTGACGTTTCCTTTAACGGGATAAACGAATGTACTTTTATCTTCCACAAACAGCACATCCTAACAATTCAGCATACAGTAGTCCCGTGGTTCCTTCTAAGTAGTCATTTTGGCTTTTTTACGCCGTTTATTAACTTCTGGTAAGTAGTTTCGGTTCTTCGAAACGAGTCGGAAATGTATTTCGTAATTTGCCGGTTTGTTATTTGGTATTCTGTAGAATGCCTAGGAATATTCTGTAGAATGCCTAGGAAATATGTGAAATGTGAATAGTTTCATACATTGTCGGCTGGTTTTAGGCATTATAGACAATGCCTAGGCATTCTCCAGAACATGGATTTCAAAATTTGCATGTAAGATGTACACTAACATGATGATACCTTTATTTACTTTAATACATGTTATGTGTAGAACTCGGGCAAAAAGTAGCATAATAGTTCTGAGACAAGAATTCCTCATAATTACAGGAACAAGAAAAGCCACGCGCGACGTGATAGCTTGAAACTTCTAAGGCAGCTGCTCATTTGTTTTTCTTGAAATCGATGAGTGAGTTAAAACGGAATGCGGTCCTCCATTTGTTACAGGTGCAGGTATACTCTGTGAACTCTCTAATGAGTCTAGCATAATACTTGCGGCAATCAGATATTATTCCAGTATGGATAATCATGAGATAGCATCCATGAATTTTTTACTGCTCTTTCTGTTCCCATCAGAAATCTGACTGGTTTCCTACTCCTCATACCAATAGAATATACCTGTCTATATGTCGACAACAACTGGGAACATCCAAGCCTTTTCCGAGATTCAGAAGTTAAAGTTAGCAGACATAGTACGAGTAATTTCCTTTCTATATTCAACTGGATTTGTTGTTGTTACTTATGCTCACTTGTCTGACAGTAACATCAAGACAAGCCCACGAAATTCCTCGTGGCAGGGAGCGCAAGATTACGCCTGCCCTTGGCAACAGCCTTGAGCACCTTAAACCTCAAGCACATTATGTTTCGGATACGCGGGACTTGACGTCGAAAGGGACAATTCTCAGAACCCGCACAATTCCAGGAAACCCATGTAGCTGGGTTACCATTTTCACTTACTACAAAGACTTGAATGCCAAACACTAATTGATTATCGGTCGGATTGGGACCACGTGATGCTTCAGAAGCAGAACTTTCGTCTGATTGGTTGTCTCTACCTGGGACAGAGGTCCATTTTCGGTGAGGTTTGAAAAAGTCTCGCGTGGCCGCAACATCGTTTCCGTAGCTAGGCGGGACTTCGCTTCAGGCGGTGTTTTTATTCCTAGGAATCCTCTCGCTTAAATCAGTGCTACCAGAATCTCGTTTCTCAGAAAAGTCCCGTCTAGCAGGGATTGTAGCCATGTGTGGTAACCTCTTTACCAGTGGCAGTGCGATTTAACTCAGTTCGGCCCCTCCAATTTTGATGGAGAGCACAGCGCAGGGCAAGGACGGTTCAGAGGGTCTTCCACTCCTCTCCTTTTCCTTCAAACCACAGGAGAGGACTTTTAAAAAAAATAATTATATATATATATATATATAATCTCATGTACCTCTTAATATCACTTATGACTGTACTTAATAGTATTTAAAAATATGAAAGAACTATGTTAAAATGAATACTTAAGATTCAATGTAACTCCTAAAAATCTCAACTTTCTTCTAAGTCCACCAGGTCTTGATTCTAAATATTCGGCCACCCTTCACAATTGTATGGACTGAAAAGAACCTTAACCTCTCCCACCTAGCACACATGATTTACGCACTAGCCAATCAGCTTCTCTCCCGCAGCCAACTTCGAAGTCTAATCTCACTGCTTTCCTGCCTTCATTCAGCCTCGACACCTCATCATTGCTGCTTGCAGGCTACTCTGTTGGTCACTCTTCTGAAGTATTTATCATCTCGACCCCGCTTCAACTTCGATACAATTGCCTTCTAAATTCTATGGACCTACCTACAATATTCGGACTTTCACTTCTTACTTCACATGCCTAAATTGCTTAAATATGCTAAATATGCCTAAATTGCTATATTGAACTTCACGTTCGTCAACAATCGGAAACAGATATACTTATTAGACTGGGAAAGGGTTCTTTATCCAGGCGCCCAAGACAACTGTACTTAGTTCACGAAGCAGGAGATGACTTACGGCTCGCCGTATATTTAGAGTGTCGCCATGCCGCACGAACACTATACTATATTTACAAACATCCAAGCTTTCTCCGGGATTCGAACCTGGGACCTTCGACACGGCAGTTTGCGACGCTAACCACTATACCGGTTGAGCGGCTCCAACTGGATTTAAACCAAGGAAGTGTTAATAGAAAAGTTTTACCTGAACTTCAGGTAACGGACAAGTCACCTGATGGAAAAGAACGAACTGCCAATGACTGCAGAGTACCCGAAAATAGCACTGATAATTTCGTCTGCCTATCTTTGGTCCGTTTCGAAGTTCTTGACACATAATTTCAAGAAGCCATAATTCGCCAAACTTCCGACAGCTAGGCGGCTCGTCCTTGGCAGAACGGTAAAACTACTGCATACTCATATTTACACCTGCGTTAAAGTCTCGGCGAACGGGCTGGTTGAATGTTATCTGTGTTTTTCTCCTAGTGTACACTGGATATGAACCATTTTCTGTTAAAAATGCCTTCACGGAGGCACTCTTCAAGCTGATAGCCTTACATGTTTGTCGTAGTGTTTATGCAAGCTAAAGCCATCATCTCATTTTCAGAGTTACTAAAAACTGCATACAGAATGGATGGATACAGAATGTTGATCCGAAAGAGAAGATAACTCCTGTTGGCGTGCTTCCAGGCACAATGGTTCTCTGCTTCTCTACAGGCTGTCCCGAGGTTTAAAGCAGGTTTTCCCAAAACTTTTCTTGCATCGGCGTTTTTTTAAAAGAATGGTTTTATATCCTCGACAGCTTTATATTTTCCTCTGTAATATACAGCGTAGAACATAATGATACAAATAACTATATATCAATTATTTACAGGAAACAATTAGACTAAGAATACCAAAAAAAAGATTTGGAAAAGAAAAATATTAGATTTAGTCGTATGTTAATTATTCTTTTGTATTACTATTACTTTTAATTTTACAAATATAAGCATAATTGCAGATTCTAACTGCAGAAAAGTTCGATTTGGATTAATGTGATGTCTGCGCTTGATGTATCGATGCATTTAAAAAAAAAAAAATATTTGGCATAAATTTGCCTTATATAACCTCGCTCAAAATATCAAAATTGTTCCTTATTTTCTGAGAAAAATTATCAACACGACTAAAGCCTGATTTTACGTGGTAAAAACCTGGAAAAATCAATAATTGTTTTGGTTAATAATTTTATTTGGAATGTTTCTCTAGTATGACTTTTAAATTCCAAAACTTTGCCTAGGCATGTGTTTTGAATAAGAATTGTGCTGGAGCATCATCTTTCAATGCAATCAACACTTCTTGCATCATAATATTTTCACGAATTTTGCGTTTAGGTAGCTAATGTTAATGGAATTATAATTAAAATTGTTTTATTTTCCCGTGCAATGCAGCCCGAGACGAGTTTTAAGAGAAAGCTACACCGGAATAGTAAAAATACAGGAGCACGTGCATTTAACATTGAATAAAAGTTTATCTCGGTAATTTATATTTAATTCGAATAAATGCAATTGACTTCTATGTTAGCTGTAACCGTAATTCTTTTCTTTTGCTTTTCAGAAATCTCGAGAAGCAGAAATTACTAGAAATCACTCGCCACGGATTTAAAGCTATAAAAAGTCCGACAAAGAACATCTCAGTTGTTGTTTAGTTATCTGCTGCTGTTATTGTTGATCGCATTAGCTTTCACTGCGCTGTGGATTGCGTTCTACTTAACGTTTTAGTAGTTTGAATAATAACTACTGATTGTTATCACGGGATATTTTTAACACTTTTGTATGAATATCTCTTGAGGAAAATTCCAGCTTTCTGTTATATTTCCTTTGATAAGAATAAATTTTATTAACATTTTATCGGACTTAACAAGGACGCAGAGTTATTTCCTGTACTTCATGAAAACTCATATGAGTACTGGCCCCGGACGACGTGACAGAATTTTGAAAGAACTTTCAACCAAATACAAAAACGTTACACGTAATGATATTGAACTG